GTGGAGGACGTTGCTTCACTGGCCCAAGTTGGCACCATCATTGTGCTCTTCCCGGGCGAGGCAGATCAGTCACCGGCTTCTGGACAGCTGCTCACTGAGGCTGCTGGCCGCTCACGGTGGCTGCTGGCTACACACGGTAGCCCATGGCAGCCCACTGCAGCAGGGGCTGCAGCCTATGCAGTCGCTGGCGACTCACGGCAGCCCAGCTCCAGGTTTAGCTGTTGTTCAGCATCTTAGCTGTGGAGGGCAGTGTCACTGGCCCTCATATGTGGGAACCCAACTGGGGCCCTCTGGCGTCCCAAGCCAAGCTCTTAACCAACACGCCACTTGGCCGGCCCTCATAAGAAATTTTTTAAAGGTGTTTGGTATTCCTGTCCAAACTTGAAGAATCAGATTTCTGTATTTTCATCAAGGGAGTTTAAAAAATGGAAATTGTTTTTAAGACTTTTTTAAAAAGTGACAAGATGACATATTTAATCCGTGTAATGTAGGCCAGTAAGAGATTTGTGCCCCAATATATTCTTTTCTATCCTTTGCAATTCTGGTTGGAAGAATATTTTTCTAAATCTTTTCAAAGCAAATTTCTATTTTCTTCAATTATTTGCTAGCATTTAAAATTTTAAAAAAAGCTTAAATTTTTTGTTATTAGTGTTATTTCATTGGCATAGTAATTGTTTTCAATATTGCTCGTTGTTTTTAGACTAATCACGTCTTCACAGTGTTGGTACCCTGATGGATGAGCTATTTTATGCCAGATTGAAAATTAATAAAAGTTTGAGTGGTATATTAAAGAGCATAAAATGAGAACATTTACTATGAAAAAGTCAAGAACTGAGGATGTAATAAAACAGGCACTTGCAATGCAGTTGGTTTAAAACGGTCCAAATTATTTGAAAAGTTATTCAGTAATTTACATCAAGAGTTTTAATACTCATCATACTCTTGGCTCCAGTAATGGAATTCCCTGACAAATCAGCTTTCAGGAAATCTGAAGTATAGAAATGTACATATATATAAAGGTCCTCATCATGGTGTCATTTATTATATTGAACAAATTGGAAGCTCCCTAAATGTTCTATAAGACAAGTTGAACAAGTTGTGCTAGATCTATAAAGGAATGTTATATAGTCACTGAAATTATACTTAACGGAGAATATTCATACATTGGAAAACAATGCAACTTTGGGTTTTAAAAGGGATCATTATGCAAAACTACAATGTAATCTTGAAAAATTTATTAATAGAAAAAAGACTGGAAAATCTACAGTGACGTTAGTGATGGCCTAGTGCTATAATATCCATATATTTATTATTAGAAACATTATTTTTAAAAACTCAGGTACTTATTTTGAGAAGAGTTTGAAAAAGTTTGTCATTCATAACACATTTTCAGAAATAATGTGTGTGCTAAAAGTAATTTTTCTTACATAAAAATTAAAGGCTGTATAACATCTTTGGTTTTTAAGAAATCAGCAACTTCAAGTTCAAATCTTCTTTGCTGCTTTTTGAATTAGAAAAAGTTGTGATTTAATTTTATAAAAATGTTGACCTCTATATGGAAAAAGCAGAAATGATTGAATACTCATTAAAGGAGAAGCTTACTTTTAAGTTTTGTATTACAAGATTCCCAATGACAGCATTTTATTTCTCAGAAGTTATCAATTGTAATTCTTTTCTTATACCATACAACTTAAATGAGCAATAATAAAAATAAAAATTCATAATTTGCATCTAGTTGGTACCAGCAAAATGATTTGAATTTAGCAAGGGGAAAGCTTTCTATACTTGTTTTAAATTTATAAAAAGAAATCTGGAAAAAGCTAATGCATTTATAATCGAAATATGAAAACTTTATGAGTATATACAGATGGCTTACATATGAATACAGTTTTATTCCTCTGACACTGATAAAAATGACCAATTATCATTGTTTCTATTTTAAATATTACTAACTTTTTGAGTCATTATTTACATGTTAAAGGGGGCTTTTATGTTTCTTCTACTTTATAGATATTTGAGATATTTGGACCCGTTGCACATCCGTTTTATGTGTTACGGTTTAATTCTTCAGCACACATTGAGAGTAAAGGTATTAAAATAAAGGACACTATGTATTTTGCTCCATCAATGAAAGACTTCACCCAATATATATTCACAGAAAAACTTAAAAAGTAAGTACTTTATTGACATGTTGTTTGCTTATCTAATGTTTATTTTTTAGTAATTCTCAGCGATAGTAGTTTCGTACAGTTAAATGGTATCTGCCTTCCAAAGAGTTCATATATCTTTCTTATAACACCTCTGAAAGCTAAAATTTGTTATCAGCTTTTACAGGTAGAGATCATTTATATCTTTTGCCCAAAATGAATTCATCAACTAGTAGGAATACATTTGAGCCATATAAACTTCATGAATTCGAATTCATTGTTTTCCATTATATGCATTTTTTATTATACATGCTACTTCAGTATTAGTATAACCATTTAATAAAATTATTTTCCATTTTAAATATTTTCTTTGGGTTACATTCACAGTACTAACTATTAATAAAACTTTGTAATTCTCAAGGAAAAAAAAAGAGTAGATTTCAGGTTCCTTATAAATTATCAACTTAGAGAAGAGACAACTATTGGGTTGTCGGAAAAGTCATGACATATTTTGTCTATGTTTTTCAAAGGTCATTTTTTTATATAAAGAACAAAGATCAATCAGTGATATATTGCCTGTTTTGTTTGATAAACTTTTGCCACCTTTCAGTGAGCTTCATAATTCCTCATTCATAGAAGGGCCTGTCTTTATCAGCGAAAAACTGAACAAGGTGCTGATTTACAGCCTCATCTAACTTGAACGTTATACCACGCAAGGAGTTTTGAAGAGAGCGAAACAAGTGGAAATCTGATGGTGCAAGGTCAGGCGAGTATGGTGGGTGTGGCAACACATCCCATCCAAGCTCCAGTAATTTTTGACAGGTGATCAAACTTGTGTGTGGTCTCGCATTGTTGTGATGGAACACAACTCGATTACAATTAAAAAGCTCTGGACGTTTCTGGATGATAGATTTGTTCAAACTGCCTAATTGCCAACAGTACACATTCAAATTGATTGTTTGGTTCCTTGGTGTAGGAGCTTGAAAAACAGGACACCTTTAAAATCCCATCACACTGAGAGCATAGCCTTCCTCTGATGAATGTCTGCTTTCGATGTCGTTTGAGGCGAATCATCAACGTCGGGACCAAGACCGTTTGTACACCACATTGTTGTCAACAATCCACTTCTCATCGCCAGTTATCAGTCGCTTCAAAAAAGGATCGTTTTCCTCACATTTAATGAGCATATTGCAGATGTTTATACGCACTGTCAAATGAACTTCTTTGAGTTCATGTGGAACCCAAATATCCCAGCTTATGTATCCCAGCTTCTTCAGGTGGTCATGAACACTTGAATGATCGATGTTCAATGCTTCTGCAATCTCTCGTGTAACGTGGGTTTGACTCGATCAATGCCTTTATTTTTGTCGTCATCAACCTCAGTGGGCCTCCCTGACTGTGGAGCATCGTTGAGATCAAAATCACCAGCACAGAATTTCGTGAACCATTGCCTTGGCACTGACGTTCTTATACAGCATTGTTACCGTAAACTTTTCACAAGCTTGACGTGCGTTCTTCCCTTTTTGGAAGTAAAACAGTAAAATATGGCAAAAATGCACAGTTTGGTCTTCCATCTTCAACTTGTTGTAAAATCTCCAAAACTCAGCCTAATCGCTCATTTTTTCTTTAGTGAAGCTTAGAACTGTCAGCTATCAAATAACATAGCAATAACATAGATGCGAATGACTCTAGCACTTCCATAAATGAACTACTGCCATCTGTCGCAAACATGCATGACTTTTCCGACAACCCAATAATGTGTTCCTGAAAAGTTGTGTATCAAAACGGTGATAAACAGGGCTGACTTTAATAAATCAGTGTTCTCAATTTTGTCTGTAAATACACTAAATGATGCCTGTGTCATCTGGGTAGTAATATTCCTACATACTTATGCTCCCACTGGTTCATTTTGCATTTCCGTATTTTAATTGTGTGCCAAGTGTTTAGCTGTAGAGCTGTTTACATCACACTTATAATTATACAATTTAATTTTATATAAACCAGTGGCATATAGTTCAAGTAGAATTGCTTTTTCTATAAAAATTAGTTGAATGCTTCAGAAAGATGTAATGAATAGAGCCACTAAAAATACTGTCAAATTAGGAGTGGAAGAAAAGTCCACAAGAGATGGGGAGAAAAGGGATATCTTAAATTCAAGAAGACTTTGCGCTCAGTTTGACATGCGTCTCTCTTAGGTCTAGTTTGTCTTTCATTGGAAACTTGAAATATAGGTGAAGCATTAGGGATGCGGTTTTTGTAGGAAATACAAAGAGAACTTCAGTCGGTGAGTGCTATGTCAAAACTCGAAGTTGCTGACTTCTCAAAAACCAGTGTTTGTGCTATGTCAAAAGCACTAGTCCCAACTGTATGGCATAAGGTCTCTGTTCCACTTACATGTTAAATCAAGTCTCTGAATTTTACTTATTATTTCAGATATGAAAATTTTGTTGCTGATAATTGATTAAACTCTTGTTTAAGAATCCACATAATTATCTGAAGGAACACTTTGTCTAAGTTATTCTTCAGGCTGTGTAAGGTTAATTTTTCTAAATGACCGCCGACAAGAAAAGTGAATTAAATAGAAAGTAAAGTCAAAGATGTTAGTATGTTTTAAAATCATGCCTTAATTAGCATTTCATTCTGCTTTGAATATTAGGATGTTGCTGTAGATAGGCTATATGTTTTGCTTTTGACAAATAAAATATTTTAACTTAAAACAGATAAACTGAAAAAGATTTTCTGAAGATGTTTATTAAATAGATTTTAAATAATACTGGCAGTCTTTGTTCTTGATTTGCAAGAACAAGACTTTTGTCCTAGAAAGAAGCAACAAAAACTAAAGCCTTGGGAAATTAGTCCTACCCTGCAGAGGCCCCTCCCGACAAAGCCGTGCTATTCTAGACTGCATTGTGTTGTCTGTCTGGGGAACTCACTGGAGTCCTTTGCCTTTGAGGTAGAGAAGTTCAGCTTCTCTTCAGCTTCTCCACCTTTAGTAAGGTTATTTTACACTTAGCTTCCCATGAACTTACTCTCTGTGTTAAAAGTGCTCTTTGAAATGTTGCTTGATCTCTTCTTCAGTAGATTTTGATTTTTTCAGTGGTAAGTACACCAGTTAGGGCACTTTTCCCATTTATGTCTTTAAATTCCAGGTCACGGGCACCACAGATGGCATATATGCACAAAAGGAGTACTGGAGCTATGTTAAATGTATAGGTATAAGATGATAATTAGCAAGTAAAAGCTTTTTTAAGTGGTGGAAAATCATTGCTAATGCCTCATCTGTCCGAATTTCAGAGCAAACTTAATTATTTTCACATTGTGCCAGCCCTCTGACATCTGTAAATTGGTTTTTTTGTTTGTTTGTTTGTTTTTTGTAGAGGGCACTGTCACTGGCCCTCACATGTGGGATCCGATCCGGGGCCCTCTGGCGTCCCAAGCCAGCTGTTAACCAACGCGCCACTCGGCCGGCCCTGTAAATTGATTTTTATAGATTGTAGATTAACGGATTAATGATTTTGATGAAGTAGTTCCTGTGAATCTCATTTATTTTTGAGATCTAGTTTAAAGCAGTGAAGACATCTACTCCTAATACTCTAATATTTTAAGGTAATCGAATGACAATATATTGTCAAACTGGAATCAAAAAGTTTAAAAAAATAAGATTAAACTGAGCTTTCAGAAATTATTATTATACTAGTAATTGATCTATATATATATACAATATATAAAGTATATATATATACTTTTGTTGGTCATAGGTATAAAACTTTCTACTAAAAGTAATCAATGCTTGTGATTATACTGCCCTTGAGAATCTTCAAAACTCCTCCCCCTCACCAAACTAGATAACCTTTATTTTACCCTCTCTGCCTTGAGAGTCACTGTTGAATAAGCTTTGGTTGCTCATGGAGTTTCATTGATATTCCTCAGGTAAATTGAGGAGAAAGCATTTCATGTTGTCATCTCTATTGTTAAGCCTGTAAAATCTTAGACAAGGGAATGCCTCATATTCATTTTTGTGTCCTTAGCACCTGGAGCAGTGTCTGACCTATAGTAGGTGTAGAGTAAGCATTTAGTGAAGTGAGTTTTATGAACTGAGCTCAGGTGTGATGCAAGTGTCACAGTCATAGCATCTGGAGATGCTTCTGGACGGCAGAACCACCTTCTGCACACCACACAGCCTGGGCTTCTTACTCTCATACCCCAGTCCTCACATCTGTAGGTGTCCAACTGGTAGGTTTCTCTTAGGAGCTTCCCACATCTTCTGAAACAAGGTAAAGAATATATAAATGGTCCCTTTTCTGCTCTTATTTTCATGTATATTGCAAAATTAAGAGTTGAGCTCATGTCTTCGATTTTATTATTTTCCATGCTATTAAGTTATAGGTGCTTACCAGAATCTTAACAAGTACTTTGACTTTTTGTTTTCTCTTCCTAGGGATAGGGGATCGGATGCATCGTGGAAGAATGATCAGGAACCACCAATGGATGTAAATATAAGTCTTTTTACACAATATTTTAGAAAGTAAGGCAGGACTTAATCTTATAAATTCATCATTCTTGACCATGAGGAGGCCTCTCATGCTGCTTATACTACCTGCTGCGAGCCCATGCACTCTCCCCCTCTCCTAGATGACCCTTTTATACCTTTCAGTAAGAATTTTTGATTGATCATTTAAAATATTTTCAGCCACGTTTTACTAATTATCACCTTATCATTTTACTTATAATTTTCTATTTTTTAACCAGTTTTTGAAACTTGGTAAAGGCAGAATTGTCATTATATTTCAAAATTTTATTCTTCAGTTTAGTAATTTTACTGTGTGAAGACATGAAGACATTTATTAATGGTGTTTTTAATAAGCAGCCTTGCTTTTGGAGGTAGAAAATCATTTGAATCTACCTACCTTTCAATTTTTTACAATATAATCACCGTCTCCAAAAGAGAGTTCTTGATTTTCTCTTTTGAATCTATGTCAGCAGGACTAGTTTTATGTCTGAGTCTTTCTTGAGATGTGGAATAGAGTCAGGAATAGCCTGTAGGATTATTTGATTTAATTTTCCATGAAGATATTTAAGCATATTTTCTTCCTTTTAAGTTATTAAAATATAAAAATTACAGCAATGAGTATATACATTCTTGAAAATAGTATGAGTTTATACAATATGAAAGAAAACATGTAATTACTATAAATGAGCATTTTTATACGTGCTCAGTAGTTCTTACAAAGCTTCCCAGTAATATCAAGTCTTGGTATTTGTAGATGTAACTTTGTTCATTTTAGATGTTCTCAGTGTTGAAGATTCATAGTCTGTGTTACTTTCTAATTTTGCTGAGGTAAGAATTAGGAAATTCATGCTCACTTAGAGGGTCCCTTAACCAGTGAGTGATCTTAGTTTAGTATCCAGATCACCATGGGAACAGTATTTTCTGGTTTACATCATGTAGACATGTGATTTCCATTAAGGCCTTGAAGATTCACTTTATGTTCTTAGTTATGTATAGGGTATTTTATTACTGAAATTACATGCTTTTAAAGTATTCGAGACTTCACAAAGACTTTGAAAGATATTTCTTGTGAAATGCAAAATATTGTGTTGTTTCAGACCTAAGCATTGATGTTGATGATCATGGTAATACTGTTTATGAAATTGGTTTGATTAGGTTAATTATAAAATTAAATTGAGCATACTTCATGTAGTTAGTTTTTTTCTAAGTTATCTGTCCTTTATTTCTACAATATGGAAAACTGAAAGTCTTAAGTTTATTTGATTTTGATGACATTTTGTAGTTTAGAATCATTGCCTAGTGTTAATCATACATTAGAATTGGGAATTTGTGGGGTTTAAACATTTTTGAAAAACCATGCTGTGAAAATGGAGATGTTGGATTTATTTAAAGGAGCTAAAAATTACTTATAGGGAATGCATCATAGTCATGTTCATTGCTAACATGAGTGCTTAATTTGTAGTTGACTAAATGTATTTAATGAATTCCAGTTTATATTAATTTGAATATAAGGAAAATGAACTTTTTTTCTATTTTAGTAGGTGATGGCAAAATATTGCTAAGATACTCTCTCTAAAATAAGCTATTGCCAATTAAAATCCTTTCTCCTTTCTCCCTGTCTTTAGATGATACCCAATTGTTTAAAATGGCACAGTAAGGTTCTTGATTCTCTAATTCATTGTCTCTGATTTTTCTATATAAAAAGCTTTCACTTTTACCTTGCAGAGAACCATTTTCAGTTTTTGAATATACTGTGCCTCTGCACATGTTTCCACTTCTTGGAAATTTCCTTTCCCTTATTTTTACTGCTGACTCATCATTAGAGATTTATCTCAGGTCACCTGTACTAAGTCTTCCAAACTGTTTTTTTTTCTCTCTCTTTCAGCCCCATACTCCCAAAACACTGAATCACAGCACTTGTCACTGGTCTGTTTATCTGTGTTTTTCATTTGACTGAACAGTTTCAGAGACAGGAATGTTTTCCATCTGGTTTCAATACGTGCTACTGTCTGGTAGACACTGATTCAACAGAACTTAAAAATCTTAGCACATTAAGATCAATAATTAAAACTCATGTATTTGAAGGTACTAAAATTAGTTGATGTTTTCAAATTGATTATAGATTCTGAGGTGAATGGCCTTGTTTTTCATGAAGATTTGATCTAGACTGTATGTCAGCAACACTGTACTGAAAATCCCACACAGAGCCTTTCATATACGTTTTATTGCTTCCTTTAAAATGTGCACATATGCATACACAGTGAGCCTGTTTTCATATATTTTTTATGCAACATATCTGTTTTCTGATATTAATAGAATAATAACATGCCTGAATTCTAAGAAATCATAGCAGTCATAATCTATATAGCTTATGAGTCTTGTTTTTTTGGTTTGCTGTAACAGTGAATTTCAAGTTTAGTTACATCTGACTTTCACTCTTGCAATTTAAAATTTCCCTCTTGGAATTTGGATCATGCATGTATCTATCTGCTTGTCAAAACCTTTTCCTGCAGTCCTATCTAGATAGCATTGCCAGTGGTTTTTCTCTACCCTTATTTTGCCTTATTTATTTATAGCCCTTACTATATCTGACATTATATTAATAAATAATACCTGTAAAGTGTTTAGAATAGTGCCTGGCATATAATGAATAGGTGCAATTTTTGCATGAATGAAAGATATAACATTTTCATCTGTTTTTATATTAGGTCTGATATTTTGTTATTTGCATATTCCTCACTAATCCTTCCTTTAGCATTTTTGGCAGGTGGCACTATGATGAATCTTGACAGACTTCTCACTAGTAAATAGTCATATCTGAAGGTTATTAAAGATTGACATTTGAAAGTTATCTATCTGTAACTTTCTAGGAATTAAAAAAAAACAATGCCTTGAGTACTCATCTGATTACTGGACTTTGTCGATTAAGAGTCTTGAAGCATTTATCAAAAAATACTTTATTTTTCTGTCATGTAATTAATTCTAATATTACTGGAAAATGTTAAGTGTAAAAGTATCTTTTGGGGTCAGTGTTAAAAGCCTTATTTTTCTCAAGTCCAAGTATGCACCATTGAATTAGTAAATTCATGTGACATAAATCTATATATTTTCTATGTCAGGCCTTAGATTTCAGCGATGATGAAAAGGAAAAAGAAGCCAAACAGAGAAAAAAGTCTCAGATTCAAGGCCGGAAAAAATTCAAATCTGAATTTAATGAATCAGGTAAGTAAATGGAATATATAGTATTTTTATTTTCACTTACAGTTACTTAAATTCTTCAATAATAAAACTGAAGGAAACATCTGGCATTTCTTTTTACCTCCTGTCATCTACCTAGCATCTTCCACAGCATGAGATGTGGTGGGAGAGGGTAACAAGGATAAAATTCAATGATAGTTTTTCAAGCTTAACGATATAAAAACAGCTTTTAGGGGTAAAAGGCCAACTAAGCCTTGTTATAGTCATTTGTGCTTATGAGCACTTTTTCTTAAGAAACTTATTTTCTTTCCTGTTTAGAATTAAATTATATGGTACTTAATACCTAAATCAAGGTATTTTATTTTTCAACATGCATTCCCTTTTTTTTTTTTAATTTTTATTGTGAAATACACATTTTTTAGAATTAGTTTCAGCTGTACAACACAGTGCAGTAGTTATACTTTTTACCCCTCAAGGTGAGAACCTCATTCCCCCAATCTTCTGCCCCACTTCCCCCACCAATATCATACATATCTGTTACAATCCCCTTGACTCCACTCCCACACTATACTCCATGTCCCATGACTATATATATCTATATATATTTACTTATAGTTGACATACAATATTATACAACATCAGCTTCAGGTGTACAGTGTAGTGATCAGTGATCAAGCCTCTACCCCATCCATGATGCGGTCTCCCTAACAAGACATGTGACCATCTGACACCCTACAAAATATTTACAACATTATTAATTATATTCCTCGAACTGTCTTTCATACCCCTGTGGCAATATTGTAGTTACCTATTTATACTGTCTAATCCCTCCCCCTTCTCCCTCATCCCCACCCCCTCCCAACTAGCAACCATCAGTTGTTCCTCTATATCTCTGAGACCACTTCTGTTTACTTTGCTTGTTCATTCAGTTTTTTAGATTCCACAAATAAGTGAGGTCATATGGTATTTGTCTTTCTCCGACTGACTTATTTCACTTAATATAATGTCCTCTAGGTCCATCCATATCGTTGCAAATGGTAAAATTTCATTCTTCTTTATAGCTGAGTAATACTTCATTGTATAAATGTACCACAGTTTCTTAATCCAGGCGTCTACTGATGGGCATTTCGGTTGTTTCCAAGTCTTGGCTATTGTAAATAGCGCTGCAATAAACATAGGGGTGCCTATATTTTTTCGAATTAGTGTCTTGGGTTTCTCTGGATAGATATCCAGGAGTGGAATTGCTGGGTCATAACGGTAGATCCATTTCCAGTTTTTTGAGATACCTCCATACTGATTCCCATAGTGGCTGCACCAATCTGCAGTCCCACCAGCAGTACACCAGGGTTCCCTTTTCCCCACAACCTCGCCAGCACTTGTTTGTTGATTTATTGATGATAGCCATTCTGACCGGAGTGAGGTGGTAACATGCATTCCCTTTTATTATATCTTTCATGTTTTATTTTTCCTTTTTAAAAATTAAACTTTTTATATATTCACACGCAGTTCTAAGAAATAATAGATCTTGTATGCTCACTACCTTGTTTCCTATAATATAGTAACATCTTGCAGAACTATGCAGTAAAATACCACAACCAGTACATTGACATTGATACAATGAAGGTATAAGATCAGTTCCATCACAGAAAAAGATCCCTGGTGTGTTGCTTTTTTATAGCCATTCACGTTTTCCTCCCTACCTCCTCCTCCTCAACTCCTGGCAACCAGTAATCTATTCTGCATTTCTGTAGTATTTTTTTGTCCTGTCAAGATTGCATATATTCCTATAAATGGAGTCATACAATGTTACCATTAGGGATTGATTGGCACTTTGGCACTGAGCATGGAGATTCATCCCGGCTGTTGTAGGTGTCAAGTTTGTTTCTTTTCCTTACAGAGTGGTGTTCTTTTATGTGCATATATATAGATTGTTTAACCTTTCATGCATTGAGGGGCACCTGGGTTGTTAACAGTTTTTGGTTATAGGCATAAAGTCGTTTTATGCATTTGTGGACCGGTTTTTGTAGAACACAAATTTTCATTGCCCTGGGATAAATGTCCAAGAATGCAATCGTTGGACTATGTGATGTTTGTACATTTAGTTTGTCAAGAAACTGCTGTACTGTTTTTCAGTATGACTGTACTGCTTTACATTCCATCACTGATGTATGACTGACTCAATTTCTCTGCATTCTCACCAGAATCTAGTGTTACCACTTTTTTACTTTAGCCATTCTCATAGTGTGTAGTGATATCTAACTGTGATTTCAACTAGCATTTTCCTAATGACTAATGTTATTGGACATCTTACCATGTGCTCATTTGTGATTTGTGTATCCTCTTCAGTCACGTATTCATGTGTTTTGCCCAATGTTAGTTAATTGTACTTCTGTTTTTTTAACTCTTGAATTATGAGTTTGTACATAATTTCTTCCAGTCTTTATCCTGTGTTTTTATCCTCTAAAAATGGTCATTTGCAGAACAAATGTTTTTAACTTTGATAAAGCCCACTTTATTAGTTTTCCTTATATGGAATCTGAGAATTTCTTATCTATATGTCCATCTCAAAGATTTTCTTTTTTTTTTTTTTTCTCTAAAAGTTTGCAAAATTATTTTAGCTATTCTAGTCCTTTGTCTTTCCATATGAATTTTGGAGTAATCTTCTCTATATTGACAAAATGTCTTGCTGGGATTTTTATAAGAATTGCATTAAACCTGTATATTCGTTTGGAGAGAATTGACATCTTTACTATATTATTGAATTTCCAGAAATTTCTATTTGTTTCTTCTTTGTATCTTTTTTTTGGCTTAGGCTTTCTATTTTTATTTGTTTTAGTGTGTTCATAATTTCTTGTTGAAGCATTTTTATGATGACTGTTTTAACCCTGTGTCAGGCACAACTGATCTCACAGATTCATTGCACACAAATTTTCAAATATCTAACAGTTAACTTAAGTATCATGACTCATCGCTTCTGTATCTTCCCCCTCTACTGTAACCTATCACCAGTCGTGTTTGTGAGTTAGTACAGTAGATGCATTTCATAGCAGCATCTTTGTGTGCATTGAATCTGTGAGATCAGTTGCACCCTATGGGGGGTTAAAATATTTCTCAGGTAGTTCTTACGTCTTTGACATCTTGCTATTGGCCTCAATTTTCCGTTTTCATTAATTTTGAAATCTTGGTATGATGGGTGATTTTCAATTGAAACCTAGCAATAATGTTATGTTATGAGACTCTAGATCTTATTTAAATCTTCTGTTTTGGCAATTTTGTTTTTAAAACTTCTCTGGTAGGGAAAGGAAGGAGGGTGTCACCTTGTTACTGTTAGTACCAGGTAAAGATAGAAGTCCAGGTTTTCTTCTCAGCCTCTATTACACCTGAGGCCAGCCAGGGGTGCCTTGTTCCTGCTAAACAAGCGTAGGCCTCCTCTTCTACCTGAGAGGGTAGAATGCCTCCTTGTTGCTCCCCTGACTCTAGTAGGGGAGGGCCTCCTACCACTGGTCCCTGACTCCACCCATAGCAGGAGGTGGAGGAACTGTTACTGTCAGTGGGGGTGGAAGGCCAGGCTCCCCAAGTGACCTGCAGTGTCACTGTGGGGAGGCCTGGTGACTGGCTCCCTGTTTAACCTGACACCACCCTGGTCTGAGGGGTGGAAGTCTAGGCTCCACTCCGCCTTTGCCGTGTGGGCAGGAGTGGTGGCCAGTTTTCTCGGTGGTGGGCAGGGGGAGTCCAGAAACCTTGTCCGAAAGGTTTCTGTCGGGCTGGGCTTTCCCTTTCCTGATCCTCAGGCCTTTTGGAGTCTTTAAAATTGAGTATTTTAAGTCTTATGCTTTTTAATTACTGTACGATATACTGGAAGTTAAAGAAAAGGTGTTCTTGACATTTTAAACAGTATTTCTTGATGTAGTAAGATTAATTTTGTTTTTTGTGCTTTTTTTTTTTTTTACTCCACTCAAAGGTGAAGATTTTGCTGAAGTGCATCAGAATTGGAATGCTCACAGCTGTGCTTCAGAGCATTCCAAAGGCTATCGCAACAGAGAAGCCACACGAGGCTTTTCCCTGGGGAGACATCCTCGACCTGTCCATGGCAGGCCCCCGCCGCCGCGGTTTTATAACCCGGAGCACGCGGCCTCTCTGGAGACTTCAGGATTCCCACCTCAGAGACAAGAGGGGCTCGTCATGCCACAGTATCCCTTTCCTCCTCCGGTGTTTGACATGCGTCATTTTTCACTCCCTCCTCCCCCGCCTCCT